GGACTGGGGAGGGGACACCGGGGGAGGGGCAGCCGGCGAGGACTGCACAGGAGGGCCACCAGAGTCAGAGGACTCCTTAACCGGGTCCGCCGACGGAAGGGGGGTGACGTGGGACACACCAGAGGGGGCGGGACGGGGAGGAGGAGGAGGAGGGGCAGGGACTACCGGGGAAGGAGTTACCAGGAACAGGGGGGGGGTAACCGGGGGACCACGGTGGGGGAAGCGACGGTAGTAGGAAACGGACTCGTCAAAGGTGACGTCGCGAGAGTGAAAGAAGCGGTGAGACGGCGGGTGGTAAAAGTGCCAGTCGGACGCGTCAAGGGGAAAACCGAGGAAGACGCAGGGAAGGGTGCGGGCAGTGAGCTTGTCCGTGCCGGAGGCACGAACGTGAGCAAGGCAGCCCCAGACGTGGAACGCAGACGCGTCACCAGGAGACCCAGTCCAAAGACGGGTCGGCGAAACCTGCGGCTGCTGAGGGTGCGGCCACAAGTTAAGCTGGTGAGAAGCGTAGCGCACAGCGAACGGCCACAGAAAATGGGGTGCACCGGCATGGATCATGGAGGTGCGAGCCACCTCCATGACCAAACCGATGCGTCGCTCAGCGACCCCATCCTGCTGTGGGGAGTCCGGTAGGGTGAACATCTGGGTGATGCCCTCCGCACGACAAAAGCGACCAAGGACACCTGAGGCAAACTCGCCACCACGGTCTGAGTGAAGACCCAAGACAGGGAGACCGCGGTGGACACGCGCAGAGACAAGCCAGGGGATGAGAGCACCAGGCACGTCGGCCTTGCGCTCCAGGGGAAAGACTGTGATGTAACGAGTGAAGTCGTCGACGAGCACAAGAAAGTAGCGCTCTCGACGCGGCCCATGGACGGGGGCGGGGCCCCAGACGTCCAGGTGCAGGGTCTGCAGCGGCGCGGCGGTAGGGGGAAACGAGGAGGAGTGAGGGGCACGGCGAAGCCGACCCTCGACACAGGGCGTGCAAGGGGGGGCGGGGGAGGAGGGAAACGCGGGGAGAGAACCGGGGAGACCAAGGACAAGACCGTGCTGGGACATGTGACGCAGACGCGGGAGCGCAGGGTGACCTAGGCGGTGGTGCCAAAGGAGAGTCGGGTGAGTGAGAGACCGACAGGAGCAGGCAGCAGCAACCTGGGTAGACGCAGCCACCTGAGGGGGGGCCCCAGCCGGGGGGGTCACGGTGTCCAGAGTGAACAGGCCGGACACCGGGTCCCGGGGGAACGTGGACAGGGGGGCACCAGTGGCGGCCTCGGTACAGACAGCATACCGCTCGTGGCCAGGGAACGTAGTGGTGACGCCAAGGTCCTGCAGGCAGCCGACACCAACTAGGTTCCTGGAGAACGAGGGGATATGCAGACCTGTGAGAGAGCCCGAAGGAACCGTCGGACAGGGAAGGGTGGTGGAACTGCGGGCGACTACCGGACCACCAGAGGGGTCAGCAAGAGAGACGGCAGCAGGAACAGGAAGCGGCGTCAGGGTGGTGGAGTCGCGGAAGAAACACCGAGAAGCGCCAGAGTCCAAGGTGAAGGAAAGCGAAGCAGAGGCGTCTGGCGTCGGAACGACGGTGGTAGCATCAAGACTACACAAAGCAGAGGATCCTACACCTGACGCAGCAGGGGAGGCTACGCTAGACACACCTACGCTAGGCAACAGTGAGTAATAAGCTGGAAGCACACTAGAGACATCAGCATACATCACATGCAGAGCAGAAACAATGGCATCCATGTCCATATCAAAGATCTGAATCTTACGACTAAGCAAACTGTGCCAGTCCGGGAGGTCTGGCGACGGGCCGAAGCGCTGACGGAAGAGGTCGTCCAGGCGACGAAAACAGCGGGGAGTGGAGTGACCGATCTTACCGCAAACGAAGCCGCGGCGAGGACCGGTCTGGATCTGGTACTGACAACGCCCGCCGCCAGAGCCACCACTCGGCACACCACCACGCGCCCGGCCACCGCCAGCGCCGGGCCACCCGGGCGGGAGGACACTCGTCTGCCGTGTCTGCGACGGCTGCGACGGCTGCTGCGGCTGCTGCGAAGGCTGCGACTGCGGCGGCTGCTGCGGCTGCTGCAACTGCAGGGGCGGCGGCTCAGCTGGACTGGGCAGGGTCCCCTCGTCCGCTCCAGCACCAGACGACCCGATTCCACCACTACCCCCTCCCGCACCCCCGCCTCCGCAGCGCCCAACCTTGGGGCGGCGGCCCTTCCCCGAACAGAACTGCGCTGAAGCAGCAGTCTCAGCCACTGAGGCACAGCCGTCGGAGAAGGTACACTGAGCGGGGGCACAACCCTAAAAGATAGGGACCGGCACGGCACCGCTCGCCTGGGCGATGGAGCGGTGACGGGTCTCTATCACAGTCAGGGTGTCTACAAAGTCAGTGAGGGTGAGGTCGGCGGGGTGAATGCTAAGGAAGCGGTCGCGGGCGACAGCAAGGCGGTCAGGGAGGCGGGTGGCAAGCAGGTAGAGGGTAGAGGTAATGGGCGGCTGGTGGGCTCTAAGCTGTGCGTCAGTGCAGGCAGCGCGCCAGGTCTCATCTATCGAGCGCAGGTGGGCAGCAAGGTCAGAGACAGTAGGGAAGGATGCAAGGTCAGGAAAGAGCATCGGGAGGATCAGGCGACCCACCGAGGCAGCCGGAGGAGTGGAATAGCGCTGGATGACAGCATCTAAGTATGCCTGAGCAGTGGTGAGGGACCTAAAGCGAGGGCGCTCGGACGGGGAAGGGCGTTGCTAATGGCAAGCTGGGCGACAGCATCGCGAGAAAGCCAGACAGAGCGCGCACGGGCAGTGGCAGCAGTAGACTCGCGCTCGGTGGGGGTGGAGTTAGCGGGCAAAATAGCAGGGGGGTCTGGGCAGGGGAGCGTACCGTCAAGGTGTGCGGAAAGCGGTTCGCCATCCTGCCGCTGGCCAGTGAGTTGGTGGCGGAGGTCGGCAAGCCACGCCTCGAACTCCAGAGGCTGGCCTTCATCGTCGAAGCGAAGCTCCGCCGCCATCAGGAACAGCGCAGTGCGGTGCAGGGCAGTGCAGCAAGTGGAGTGCGGTGCCGTGCGGTACAGGCGCGGTGCAGTGCGGTGTAGTGCGGTGCAGTGCGGTGCCAGGTAGTACAGGGTGGTGAGGGGCGGTGCAGTGCGGGGCAGTACGGTGCAGGGCAGTGCAGGGCGGGGGGGGGGGGAAACCGTACCAGTGAGGAGGACCGGGGCCGGGGCAGGGACGAGCGCAGGGGCCGGGCCGGTGCAACGGGGCCGGGCGTGTGCGACGGGGCCGGGCCGGGGCGACGAGGCCGAGCTGGTGCGTCGGGGCCGGGCTGGTGCGACGGGCCGGGCGGGGGCGACGGGGCGGCTGGTGCGACGGGGCCGGCGGGTGCGACAGGGCCGGGCCGGTGCGACGGGGCCGGGCAGGTGCATCGGGGCCGGGCCGGTGCGACGGGGCCGGGCAGGTGCGACAGGGCCAGGCGGGTGCGACGGGGCCGGGCCGGTGCGACGGGGCCGGGCAGGTGCGTCCGGGCCGGGCCGGTGCGACGGGGCCGGACGGGTGCGACGGGGCCGGGCGGCTGCGACGGGGCCGGGCAGGGGGCGACGGGGCCAGGCGGGTGCGACGGGGCCGGGCGGGCGCGACGGGGCCGGGCTGGTGCGACGGGGCCGGGCGGGTGCGACGGGGCGGAGGGCGGAGGGGCCCAGGAGGGGGGGCCGACGCGGCCCAGGAGGGGCGCTCCGGGGCCAGGAGGGGCGTACGGCCCAGGAGGGGCGCGGACCGGGGCCCCAGGAGGGGCGCAGAACGGGGCCCAGGAGGGGCGCGACGGAACCCAGGAGGGGCGCTACGGGGCCCAGGAGGGGCGCGACGTGGGCCCAGGGAGGGGCGCGACGAGCGGGGGGCCTACGGCCCAGGAGGGGGGCGCGACGAGGCCCAGGGGGGCACTACGGGGCCCAGGAGGGGCGCGACGGAACACCCAGGAGGGGCGCTACGGAGGCCCAGGAGGGGGCGCTACGGGGCCCAGGAGGGGCGCGACGGGGCCTGGGAGGGGCGCGACTGAGCCCAGGAGGGGCGCTACAGGGCCCAGGAAGGGCGCGACGGGCCTGGGAGGGGCGCGACGGGCCAGGGGGGGACAGGCCCAGGAGGGGCGCGACGGGGCCCAGGAGGCGCTACGGGGCCTAGGAGGGGCGCGACGGGGGGGGGGGCGGGGCCCAGGAGGGGCGTGACGGGGCCTGGGAGGGCGCGACGGGCCAGGAGGGGCGTACGGCCCAGGAAGGGGCGCGCGGGGCTAGGGGGTCGCGACGGGGTAGGGGCACGACGGGGCTAGGAGGGGCGAGCGGAAGCGGTAGGTGGGGGGGGAATCCTAACCTACGCGTGATACCATATCAAAATCAGAGAAGTGTTAGTGATTAGAGTGAGAGTACACACAAATATACCTAAGTCTTGTACCCTCTAAGAGATGACTCCTATACAGTCTATACAAACATGACAATTACACATGTTTGACAGACATGCTATATGACCAGGCACTTTTGGATCAGCCAGCCTTGTCTTCCCTTTTTATGTATATTTACCTTTACCCAAGGATGAATTCAACAGCGTCCTACACGATCTGGCCTCAACCCAAGGAACTTTCATGAGCATGTTATATTTCCAAGAAATGTGAACAAGTGTTTTTCATGTAACACTCTCATAGCGCATGTGACGTGACATGATGCCCCCTTTGTCCCCATTGCCTACCTGTACATAATGGCGTGCAAACAAAACGCGTCCACAGATGGCACAAACGCGTACAACTGCAAGTTTCCAATTTTGAATTCCAAAAATCCCACCCCTTCCGAGATTCTGACAGAGTTTCCCACTTTGACTCACAACGCGTATCCTTGAAGCCGCTTTCCATTCATCCACCTTCCTCCCTGCGCCGAAACCGCAGCGTTTGTGATTGCGACCCTTTCTTATAAAATATTGCTTTCCCCGTCTAGATTTTTTGTTTATCAGCCTGTAGAATGCCTTCTCACTGCGTGCCCGCGCATTCCAGTAACGACGCTGGCGGTACCAGTGGTAGTGGCAGCGGCGGCCGGGGAGCTATGATTCGGCCGATCGATAAGGCCGCTATTCACCGCATATGCTCTGGACAGGTGAGCTCGAAAACTCAAGCTTCTACAAGTAATCGCGTCGTCGCATTAGCGCATCATGTGACCACAGGAATTCCCTCGCATCAGATTCCCCGCATACCCCGGCCGCTCACCCCGCTCAGGTGGTGCTTGACCTGGCGACAGGTGGCAGGGAGCTATTGGAGAACAGCCTGGACGTGGGCATGTGAAACAACGCTTCCCGTTCCCCCCCTCCTGCCCTCTCTCTCCGCCCTCTCTCTTCCGTGTAAAAACAACCTGGTGGTGCTGGACCTGGCGACGGCGGTCAAGGTGCTGGCGGAGAACAGCCTAGATGGTATGCAGATGTAATCTCTTAGCCCTCGCCCCGGGCTCCGCCCGGTTCGAGGTCGCGCTGGAGTCAATTTTGAGGCGCCTCAAGAATAGGCTCCCCCCGTCTCCAGGTGGTCCTGGACCTGGCGACAGCGGTCAAGGAGCTGGCGGAGAGCAGCCTAGATGGTATGCAGATATAATCCCTTAGCCCTCGCCCCCGGCTCCCCCCGCTCCAGGTCTCGCTGGACCCCGCGACAGCCGTGAAGGAGCTGGCGGAGAACAGCCTGGACGCGTCACCCATCAGCCTTCCCCTCCACTCCCCCCCACCCCACCCGCCCTCCTCCCCCCTCCTCTCCCTTTCCAGGTCGTGCTGGACCTGGCGACGGCCGCTGAAGGAGCTGGTGGAGAACAGCCTGGACGCGGGCATGTGGGATAACCTCGCCATCCTTGCGCCCCCTGGCTACTTGCTGCACCATGCAGGTGGTGCTGGACCTCGCGACAGCGGTGAGGGAGCTGGTGGAGAACAGCCTGGACGCGAAATGCATCAGCCTCTCCCCCCCTCCCCCACCCTTTCCCCCCCCCCCCCCCCCTCCCCTCCCCCCCCCCCCCCCCCCCCCACCCCTTTTCCCCCTCCTCACCCTTCCTCTCCGGTTCTACGTGGGCCTCGCTACAGAGGTGAGGGAGCTGGTGGAGAACAGACTGGACGCAGGCCGCCGTGATTTCAACCCTCCACCTATCCTTGCTTTCCCCCTGCCCTGCTCTTCCATCCACGTCACTTGCACGTGGTGCTACACCTCGCTACGGCCGTCAAGGAGCTGGTGGAGAACATTCTGGACGCGGCACACATCAGCCCTAACCCCCCCCTCCCCCCCCTCTCCTCCTCACCCCTCCTCTCCGGTTCCAGGTGGTGCTGAACCTCGCTACAGCGGTGAAGGAGCTGGTGGAGAACAGCCTGGACGCGGGCATGTGGACTAACATCGCCATTCTTGCGCCCCCTGGCCACTTGCTGCACCATGCAGGTGGTGCTGGACCTCGCCTACAGCGGTGAAGGAGCTGGTGGAGAACAGCCTGGACGCGGGAGCTACGAGCGTGGAGGTGCGGCTGAGGGAGTCGGGCGCGGAGCTCATTGAGGTGGCGGACAACGGATCGGGGTGTGGCGCCGGACAACTGGCAGGTGGGCTGCTCGGTTGCCTTCAGGGGAATGCGTGGGAGGGAGAAGGCTAGCTAGCAGGGGCTACGAGCATGGAGGTGCAGGCTGAGGGAGTGTGGTGCGGAGCTCATAGAGGTGGCGGACAACGGCTCCGGCGTTGCTCCTGACAACTGGCAGGTGGAGAACTCAGCAGTGAGGGTTAAAAGGGAGCAATGGTGAATGGAAGAATGGCAGGCTAGCGGGAGCTACGAGCGTGGAGGTGCGGCTGAGGGAGTCGGGTGCGGAGCTCATAGAGGTGGCGGACAACGGCTCCGGTGTGGCGCCGGACAATTGGCAGGTGAAACTTGGGGTGCTCTAAGGAGTATGGGTGAAAGGGGGTGAAAGGGGGTGAAAGGGGGGAATGGCAAGTTCGCGGGTGCTTCACGTGATGAGGTGCGACTTGGGGAGTGCGGCGCGGAGCTTACCGAGGTGGCGGACAACGGCTCGGGCGTGGCGGCTGAGAACTGGCAGGTGGGTAGCTCAAGTGGGTAGCTCAGGTGGGTAGCTCAGGTGGGTAGCTCAGGTGGGTGGGTAGCTCAGGTGGGTAGCTCAGGTGGGTAGCTCAGGTGGGCTGCTCGGTTGTGTTCAGGGGCATTCAAGAACGCCCTCCTTTGTGTCCCTTCTCCTTTTCCTGGCCTTCAATCCTTGTCATCGTTTGTATCCCCTCTCCATCTCTCTCCATCTCTCTCCATCTCTCTCCATCCCTCTCCAGCCCTCTCCATCCCTCGTTTTGTAATGAGTGCTGCAGGCGTTCACCCTGAAGTACCATACATCGAAGATCGCCCATTTCTCCAACCCCCAATCCTTGTCATCCTTAGTATTCCTCGACACCCCTCCCAATCCCCTCCTACCTTTTCAAAATGATTGCTGCAGGCTTTGACCCTCAAGTACCACACGTCCAAGATCGCCCACTTCTCTGACCTCCAGTCGCTTTCCTCCTTCGGCTTTAGAGGAGAGGCCCTTTCTTCCCTCTGCGCCCTTGCTGACGTCACCATCACCACACGCACCGCCGACGAGCCAATAGCAACTCGCCTTGTGTTCGACCATGGAGGAAAATTGCTGGATGGGCCGAGGGAAAAAGTTGCTCGGGCAGTGGGAACGACTGTCAGCGTGGCGAAGATTTTTTTCGCCGCTGCCCGTGCGACACCGGGAGTTTCAGAGGAACGTTCGGAGAGAATTCGCGAAACTCGTGAGCCTTCTCCAGGCGTACTGTGTGATCTCTACCCGCACCCGGATCATCTGCACCAATCAGAGCGCGCGCAGCACAGCGCGGACCACTGTGGTGCAGACAGCTGGCACGGGGTCGATGCGTGAAAACATCATCGCTGTCTTCGGCTGCAAGGCTGCTGCTGCGCTCGACCCGTCGACATCACCTTCCCCCTCTATCCTGCTGCTGCTGCTGCTGCCGCCACTGCAACTGCTGCTGATTCTGCTAGTGCTGGTGATGCAGGTGGTGTTGGTTGTTCTAGTACTGGACTGGCAGGTTCAGGTAGTGTCTCCCCCCACCGCCCCTCCCCCTCTTCCAGCAGCCTGCTGCCAGGTAACTGGGTATCTGTCCAAGCCAGGAGCAGGGAGTGGGAGATCCAGTGGAGATCGTCAGTTCTTTTTTATTAACGGTCGCCCGGTGGACCTGCCCCGGCTCGCAAAGCTCTTAAACGAGCTCTACCGGTCGTTTAACTCGCTGCAGTACCCCGCCGCTTTCTTAAATGTTTCGCTTAGCGCGGACGCTTTTGATGTGAATGTGACCCCGGATAAGCGTAAGGTGTTTTTTACACTCGGAGGCGGGGTTATTATCGGGGTTGAAGGCCTCTTTGTTGCAGTTTTACTCCCCGGACCGGTATGTCTACCGAGCTGCGCCTTCTGGTTCGGTGCCGAAGCAGATTGAAGAGCGGAGGAGGGAGGAGGTTAGGGGGGAGAGGAGAGTGGTTAAAACGGTTGCTGGAGGAGTGGTAGAGAAAGGGGAGGATAAGAGGGAGTGTGGAGGGGAGGGGGAGGAGGGAGACCAGAGGAGGAAGCGAGTGAGGGTGAGTGAGAGAGGGAGAGGTGGAGAGGAAGAGGGGGGTGTTGGAGCAGGGGAGGAGGTTGAGGAAGAGGAAGAGGAAGAGAGGGAGGAAAGGGTAGAGGATGAGCAGCAGCAACTACTGGATGTGGGGAGAAGAGAGGCAGGAGGTGCGAACAAAGAACGAGAAACAGCAGCAGCAGGAGCAGCTGGGGTTAGAGCGGGGGGGACAGTTGGAGGAGCAGCAGCAGGAGGAGCAGGAGGAGGTGCAGGAGCAGCAGCAGCAGGAGGAGGAGGAGGAGGAGGAGGAGGAGGGGTTGCGTCAGGGCTGCAGTGGAGCGAGAGAAAAGCTGCAGAGATGCGACGGCTGCTGCTGATGAGTCCCCAGGGCAAGGGGAAGAGAAAGGGCAATGCTCCAGTGCCGGTTTTGGGGAAGGGGAAGGCTGTAGATATGTGCACGGGCGCGGACAAGGGCCCGGAGGTGGACAGTGAGGAGCGCACACTGGGGGGGTCATGCTCGGGTGAGGGAGATGCTTATGCTGAGAGACACGCTGAAGTGCTTGGGGGAGAGAGTGGGGATGAGGGGGAGAGTGGGGATGAGGGGGAGAGTGGGGATGAGGAAGGGACTGGGGATGACGTCCTTGAGAAGCGGAACGGGGACAGGGAAGAGAGAGGAGAGCAAGAGGAGCAGGGTGTGTTGCAGGAGAGCAGGAAGCTAAGGCTGGGAGGTCGGCGTGGGTTGAGTAGCTTTGCGTTCGCATCTGGGGAAGGCGTGGGTGGTGGGGGTGGTGGAAGTGCGAGCGATAGTGTTGAAGGCAGCTCAGGGAAAGGTTGCTCTCTTGGTGTGCTCATGCTGACAGGGAAGCGCCAAGGGTTTCCTCAGGCTCTTAAACAATCACGAGAGGAGTGCCGAGGGAGCAACCCTTCTGTGCAGATGTCGATGGGTGGGTTTGTCATTCAAGTTCCGGGGGGGAAGGGGGGAGAGAGGGGGGAAAGAGGAGGTATGGGCGAGAGTGGACGGGAGGGAGCGGGGCGTGGAAGGCTGGATATGTGGCTACGGAAGAAGGGGAGAGGGGAAGGGGGTGGTGTTGAAAGGATGAGGAGTCATGGGGATGGTGAAAAGGAAACAGTAGAGGGTGGCTGGGACGAGGAGGCGGAGGATGAGGAGGAGGAGGATGAGGAGGCGGAGGATGAGGAGGAGGAGGATGAGGAGGCGGAGGAGGTGGTGGTTGTGGAGGAGGGGAGGAGGGAAGGCGGTGAGCCAGAGGCAGTGGAGGAGGAGAAGGAAGAGAAAGAGGAGGAAGAGGAGAAAGAGGAGGAGGAGGAGAAAGAGGAGGAGGAGGAGGTGAGGGTGGAGGGAGCCGGAGAGCGGGGGGGATGGGAGGAAGGCGAGGGAGAGGAGAAGGAGGTGGATAAAAGCCCGGAAAACGATGAGGATATGGGGTTCAAAGTAGATGAGGTTCGGGCGTCTAAGCGGCTTCGGCCGGAAATTTATCGAGGTGATTCGCAGGAGGATGTCAGGGATGAGTGGGCAGGGAGAAATGTTTTGGATCTGCCCCTGATGACGCAAGACATGACTCAGGCTGACCTGCCCGACTTATTGGGCTCCCAACTGCTGCCTGGAACCCAAACGGCTGGGCAGCAAGAAAGGTTTGCCCTGCCTGTGGAGCATGGGGCAGAGAAGGGGAGGTGCTGCAGTGACCATGGGGAGCAGGAATTTATGGAGGGGCTGGGAGGGGCGGAAGAGGAAGCAGAGGAATTGGGAAAGAAGGCTGAAGGGAGAGAGGGGAGAGGAGGAAGGGAGGAGAAAGCAGAAGGTGAAGAGGAAGAGGAGGGAGTGGAGGGACGAGAGAGGGTGAGGCAGCGCACAGTGGCACAGCCAGGGAGGGGTTGGGAGGCGAGGGGGGAAGAGGGGAGCGTGCGGGTTCAATTCGACTTGAGGCGAGTGCAGCAGGTGTGGAGGCAGCGAGCAGAGGTGAGGGAGAGGGAGAAGAGGAGGAGAGAATGGGGAAGGACGGCAGGACGAGGAGGTCGACACAGGAGCTTCGCGGCAGCGTCTGTCTCATGCAGCATTGCCAGCAGTGGGGGGAGGCGGCAGCAGCAGCAGCAACAGCAGGTGGGGGAGAAAGAAGAGGCATTGGAGGCAGCAGCACGGGAGCTAGAGCGGCGGTTTGACAAGCGGGACTTTGCTAGCATGGCTGTGATTGGCCAGTTCAACCTGGGGTTCATCATTGGACGGCTGGGATCGGATCTCTTCATCGTGGACCAGGTACAGAGTGCATGGTGTTACTTTGTATAGCTGATGTATTTTTCTTATATGAATGCAGTATCATTATTGTATGCACATTACATTCCTCGCCGCCATCAGGACGGATTTTATTGTGGCAATTCTCGTTTTACAGAAACTAATCAAAACAAGAAGCAAGAAGAAACTGAAGCTTGCCTTTTGAGCCCACCGCCCTCCCTGTCCATTCTCTCGCAGTATGCTTCTGACGAGAAGTTCAAATTTGAACGTCTTATGTGGTGCCATGCACACATCATCCCTCACCAGCACTAAACTATCCACTCTTGCGATACTATCTGCTCGTTCTCGCTTTCCTAAAGTGCTCCTTTCCTGCACACACCGCCCTACCTGCCCCGTTTCCCCGCAGCATGCGTCTGACGAGAAGTTCAACTTGGAGCTCCTCATGCGGTGCACGGTGCTTTTGAATCACCAAGTGTCGTTAGCCATGATCGAGACGAGCAGCAGTGTAAACGTTTAGCTCCTCACGCGGTGCACGGTGCTTTTGAATCACCGCATCCTCAAAATCTGGCACATTCCCTCCCTGCTCAACCCATCCTGTCGTTCCCTGCCCTATCCGCTGCCCCATCTCCTGCCCCATCCCTCGCCCAGCACGCATCTGACGAGAAGTTCAACTTTGAGCGCCTCATGCGGTGCACCGTGCTCAACAAGCAGCCGCTGCTAGTGTGAGCCACTTTCCTGTACTTGCTCGTCTCGTATGAGTCTTGCTCGTCTCGTATGCTTCGCCTCAAAAGCCAGCTTGCAAGTCTTTGCGAGTGCTTCGTGCAATGCGCCATGCTCAACAAGCAGCCGCTGCTAGCGTGAGTGAGTCACTTGTCCAGCCTTGCCTGTATGAGCGCCTCCTCAGATCCACAGTGCTCCAAAACCCCTCTTACATCTAGAATAAGTCCTCATAAGCCGTCCTGCACGTCTTTGCAAGCGCCTCACTTCTGATGCCCATAACAGTGTCACCAAGCAGTCATCTCAGAGTGCGAACAGAACCTCTCTATAGCCTCGTTCAGTGCACCTATCAGAAACTACCATAGGTTGAACCTTTATATTCTACCTGCTCCCATGTGGTTGCTGAACCACCTCCGTCTTGGTTCGTTGCTCCTTCCTCCTTCCTCCTTCCTCCTTCTCTTCCCTCTCTTCTGTTCCCCTTCTGTGTCTATCTCTCCCATTCATCCCCCGGTCCTTCTCCTCCTTTGTTCCGGCTCCTTCTCCTCCGTTGCCTCTCTTCTTGCCAGGCCCCAGAGGCTGGACTTATCTCCAGCAGAGGAAGTGATAGTGTCGGCGCACATGCCGACATTCAGGTACATGTCCGTGTGTAATAGTCGTGTTTTGAGGCCCCTTAACACCTGTCAGTGCACGTGCCCACATTCAGGTACATGTCAATGAACTTTGACTTAGTGTACGAGATGACTTTTGAGTCGGCTCAAATGCGGAGGAAGTGATTGTGTCCGCGCACATGCCCACATTCAGGTACATGTCCGTGTGTAGTAGTCGTGTTTTGTGTCATCCCCCCACAACGCCCCACAATATCGTCCCAAGGGTCATCTCCCTCGTTCCTCCTAGCTCTTCACTTCTTCTCTGCCCCGCTTTCCTCCCACTCGTGTCTTCTCTCTCCACCTCCCATCAGATCTAACGGCTTTCATTTCTCCGTGGATGAGTGCGCTCCATCCGGCCGTCGGTTCCGCCTCTCAGCTGTCCCTTTCTCCAAAAACATCGTCTTTGGTGCATCTGGTGAGACAGTGGGCTCTTGGTGTAACTTTGGGTCATTTTGCGACGCCTCGAAACTACACTTATGTTTGTGCTGGCGCCCGTGTGAGTGATTTCCCCCTGCATCTGACTGACAGCGGGGTTGCCGCGAGAACTGAGACGATTTTTGAGGCGCCTCAAAAATCGTTGAGTGATGTCCCCCTACATCTGACTGACATCGGGGTTGCCCGTATCACTCCTTGCCCCGTTCATTCTCCTCCTTGTCCCCAGCATCACTCTATGCAGGATTTTACAATTTCATTTGAATTCTGGCTTGGGCAATGTATCCCTCACACTGTCGTCCTAAATACTCTTTTTCGTCCCTTTTCACCGTGAATGTGTCCATGAGGGTTCCACTCTGTTTGATCACTCCATTGCCTGACTCCCCCTTGGGTTCCACTCTGTTTTGATCACTCCATTGCCTGACTCCCCCTTGGGTTCCACTCTGTTTGATCACTCCATTGCCTGACTCCCCCTTGGGTTCCTTGCACATGTCCACAGACTCATCCCAATGCTGGCTTCCATACTCTCTCCCCTGTACTATCCTCCGCTCTACTCAGACATCAACAACTTCCCTCAATGCGGCCTTGTACACTCTTTCCCCGTTGTTATCCTCCTCCCTAAACAGACGTCTGCGAGCTTATCTCAATGCTGGCCGATGCGCCTCTTCCGGAACCGGACATTGCTGGAAACCATCAGGAAGCTTCCCCACATGCAGGATGCGACGAAAAGGGCATGGATGAGGCTACTCGTCCAAGGCGAGAACAGTCTCACTCAACGGATGTAGCAACCCCATCGCCATCCATGGCTGTAGCGGCACTGTCAGCCTCGTCATCAACGGTTGTAGCGGTGCGACCGTCACGGGTGCGAGCCATGCTGGCGTCGAGAGCATGCAGAAGCTCTGTGATGATCGGGACGGCTCTAAGCCAGCCTCAAATGAACAAGGTGGGATGCTATTTTTTCTCACCTTGCTCTTTTTTGTGCGTGTGGGAAATATCTCATGCATCTGCTCTCCTCTCAAATGTTTGCTCAGATCCTCGGCCAGCTGTCCACGTTGCAGTCGCCTTGGAATTGTCCCCACGGTCGGCCAACTATGCGCCACCTGTTTGACTTGAGGCTTCTAGAGAAAAAACATGGAAACTTTGGACTTATTATAAAGGCATTCAACAAAAAATGTAGTGTATTGTTTAATGTATGAATAAGCTGGTAAAGTGACAAAAGAGGGGATTTTGTAAATGGTGTTAGCTAATAGCGTGCTTAAGAAGTATGCTGCAAGGCGATGTGCAATGCATGGCGACAAAAGGGTGGACGTTATACAAACTGGCAAGGCAATGTGTATGTAGTATGCTGCAGTTTGTTCGTCACTATCCAAAGCCGCATACACTGTACGCAACTACTATCTCAATCGATCTGCTGTTTGTCGAAGATTCTTTCTTTCCCAGAAGTTGGAATGGCCGCGAGAGGCAGCATCGTTTATTCTTTATCGAACGTCCTAGAACCCGGCCCCGCCCCCTCAATAATGGCAGTCCTGACTTCTAGCACACGTCCACCGTCGAGTCGCTCGAATTCAAATCGGGGTGCGCCTCGTCGTTGGTAGTAGGCGTATATAACGAGAAGCCGCAGCTTTTCTATCTAATCCAACGAATACTCATTCACTCTTTCTTCCTCCTTCGACATAAGGCCCCGTGATTTCCTTACCACATTCTAGCGACCATTTTGAACTCTAATTTAGTGCCTCCTCATCAGCAGTGCTTTTCGGCAGTTACTGATCGTCGCAGAGAGATTTTCCAGCAAAAGTTCTTTGCTTCATTTCCAGCAATACTGCTTCCTCCACTTTGAAGAGATCCCCATGGCTCCTACCAACACCTGCGCGTGCGGCAGCGCCTGCGCGTGCTCCCCCACTAACAGCGCCTGCGGCTGCAAGACGACAACCGTCGCCGCCACCTGCGCCTGCAGCAACGGCGCGGCGTGCAGGTGCGGCCCGGGCTGCGCGTGCGACTCGTGCACGTGCTCCGTGAGCAGCGGCGGGGGGTGCGGGGGAGGCTGCGTGGGGGGATCATGCGCCGGGAAGAAGGCTAGCGCCGCTGGCGCTTGCGCCTCTGGGGCGCGCTGCTGCTGCGGAGAAGGTTGCTCCGGCGTTGGGTGCGCTTGCGGCGTGGAGACTAGGGGCAAGTGCGCGTCTGGCGTCAAGTGCGGGGTGCGGGGAGAGCTGCTCCGGCGCGGGGGTGCGCTTGCGGACTGGCTAGGGGCGGCGGATGCGCGTCTGGCGCTAGCTACGACTGCGGGGAGAGCTGCGCTGGCGGAGGGTGCGCTTGCGGACAGGCTGGGGGGAGCAAGTGCGCGTCTGGGACGAACTGCAGCTGCGGGGACGGCTGCTCAGGCGCCGGATGCTCCTGCAAGATATAGCGAGTTTCTGAGTCCATATCGAACTTGATTATATTGGTGAAGATTTCATGGGATGTAGCTGTTTGAAAATCGTTGTCTGTCTAGGCTGATTTTGTTTCCTGTACTGTTCACAGTGGGTAATGGATTTTTTCAGCAATTAGTGGTTTTTGTGTCGCTTCCCAACCAAACTTGACTCCCTTCCCCATACTCTCCCTTGCACTCTTGTGAAACATACTGTATGTGTGTATGTTTAGTAGACTACATAGGGTTATGCCATAGAGAGTACAACCCATTAGCTATATACCCCTGTATGCTCACATTCTAGTCAACCATTCTAACTCTGAGATGGTGTTGGAAATATCTCAAAGGACTTAAGCGTTTCTGAAGTGTAACACTACACTCGAGGAAGATCGCAACGGGTACGCGAGTCAACGGAGGTTACACGAGGGGCGGACAAAGAACGCGAAGAGACTCGAAGGGTCGCAACTGGAGGTTGCGTCTGACCGTTACAACAGCGCGGATGGTAACCGAAGCGACAATCGAGTCGCTGTGCGACTCGATAACCGTTCCTGCAACTGTATTCTACAACTGCTTTCTTATTTTCTATATATTGCTGTTGTTGGGCTTAGAAAAACCCTTAGGATCCTTTGCAGAGACTAAGTCCCAGCTGTAGAGACTTGAGACTTGGGGTAGTGCAGCGGAAGTTGAGGCAGTTTGAACCCTTGTACTAGTATGTGAGAACAAGTGATTGATTAAGGGAACAAGCATACAGCAATATATAGAATATAAGAAAGCAGTTGTAGAGTACAGTTACAGGAACGGTTTATCGAGTCGCACAGCGACTCGATTGCCGCTTCGTTACCATCCATGATGCTGTAACGGTCAGTCGCAACCTCCAGTTGCGACCTTTCGCATTCTTTGTCCGCCCCCTCGTGTTAACCTCCGTTGACTCGCGTGCTCCCTTGTAGTCTTCCTCGAGTGTAGTGTTACACTTCAGAAACGCTTAAGTTCTTTGAGATATTTCCAACACTCCCCTTCGTTTCTGGAGTGCTGTTATGTTCGGATCTGGTGACGTTTGTCTGTCCGGTCAGCAGCATGCAGTGGTCGAATTTTGTCTTCGTTAATTTCTTCGTCAAATAGTCTGCGGCCATTTCTGTCGTCGGGCAGTAACTGAGTTGAAGTCTCCCCTTCGCGATTTCATCTTTGACGAAGAAGTACCGCAGGGCGATGTGTTTGGTTCGGTTGGCGAAGCCGTCCTTGGTTTGCGATTTTGATCGCAGATTGGTTGTCGCAGAAGAGTGAGAAGGCGGGCAGGGTCGTGATCTTCGCTTCCTCGAGTAACTCTCGCAGGTAGAGTCCTTCCTTGGTCGCAGTACAAAGGGCGATGTACTCTGCTTCAGCCGAGGATAGTGCGATTAACTCCTGCTTGCTCGACTGCCAGGAGATAGTTCCGATGGGTTCTAGTCGGTAGATGTAGCCCGTCCTAGATCGTCGATTTTCCCTGTCTCCCGCGTGGTCGGCGTCGACGTATCCGAGCAGTTGTACGGACGGTGTTGTCGCTTTGCTGTAGATAAGTCCGATCGTCGGCGTGGAGACGAAGTAGAGTAGTGCCCGGTTGAGTTCCTCGAGATCTTCCTGTTCCGGTTGCTTCAGATGCGTCGCTAGTTGACTCGCACTATAGGACAGGTCGGGTCGGCAGGTGACTGCTGCGAATAGTAGGCAGCCGAGCTTCTGTTGATACTCCTGGATTTGCTTCGCGGGGAGTTTTGCGGAGGCGCTGTTGTTGTTTCCGTTAGCGGTAGGGAGTCGGGACCGTAGTCGGCGTCAGTCCGAATTTCTTCGCGACAGTGCCTGCGTACTTTCCAGCGTGTAGGTAGAACGCCGAGTTGTCTTCGACGACATTTAGTCCCAAGTACTGGGTCACTGAGTCGGACACCGTGAGCGTCAGGTCCCCTTTCAGCTCCCCTTCGAACCAGGTGACGATGTCGGTGGTAGAACCGATGTAGAGCAGGTCGTCGACGTAGACTATGAGCAGAATGTAATTTCTTCCCTTCTGCAGTCGGTACATGCCTTGGTCATGTGGTAACTGTAGGAATCCGATTTTTACGAGCCGGCCGTGAAGGTGCTGCTGCCAGAGCCGTGGGGCTTGCTTGATCCCGTAAAGGGATTTTTCCAGCTGGCATACTTTTGAAGGGTCGTCGATGAATCCGTGGGGTTGTTCGACGAAGATTTCGGCGTCCACAGGTGCGTACAAGAAGGCGTTTGCGACGTCGATTTGCCGTAGTGGTAGTTTCTTCGTGGCCGCGACGGCGAGTAGGATGCGCAGGGAGGTGTGACGGGAGACTGGGGCGAAGGTTTCTGTGTAGTCGGTTCCGTATCGTTGGTCGAAGCCTCGTACGACCCATCGCGCTTTAAAACGTTCGATGGAGCCGTCCGCGTTGGTCTTAATGCGGTACACCCATTTCCCCGAGAGAATGTTCCTCCCGTTGGTGTTGGTTGTCGGTACTAACTTCCATGTATTCCGGTCTTGGAGGGCTTTTAACTCTTTTTCCATTGCTTCCTTCCATTCCGCCTTATGTTCCCCCCAGAGCCTGCGACAGGGTCGATGGCTCGCGCGGAGAAGGCGGCGGCGGGTGCTGGACGGAGACCCATAGTCCTAGGATCTGCAGTCCCGTGGCTGTGTGTCGAGGGGAATTTTCATTCCCGGGATAAGCTGCTTCATCACCGTCTTCAGGATCGGGTAAGAAGTTTGACCCGATGCGTTCGGAAATATTCGAGTCGACGGGGTGTGGTGTAGCGTAGCCTTGGTCAGCGAAGTGGTAAAAGGTGTCGAGGTTGTTGCTATCGAGGGGATTATCTTCATCGAGTGGAACAGGTACGGAGCAGTAGGGGAGTGGTCCGGCAGCCTCCGAGGCTCCAGGGACGTCTTCTTCTGCTGCGTCAGCCTCGGCAGCATGGTCAGCGAAGGAGCGAAGGCCCGCGAAGCCGTCGGTGGGGTCGTCTGAGTTGGCAATGTTGTCCAGGTAATGCTGCAGCGTCAGTCGCTCGTAGAAGATAACATCACGTGATGCCACCGTATTTTTGTCTTGTATGTCGAGAATCTTCCACGCGTGAAAATGTTTGGCGATGCCGAGGTGTAGTCCCCACCGAGCTCGTTGAGTGAAGCGTCCTGCTCGAGCTGTGTGGGGTCTGTATTGTACCATGCAGCCGAAAACTCGAAGTAATTTTGTGCTGCCCCTTTTTCCCGTCCACAGCAGGTGTGGTGATGCGTTGTTGGGGAGCGATGACGAGGACAACAGGTTGTGCAGGTGGACTGCATGTGTCATCGCGTCTGGCCACAGTGTGGTTGGCAGTCTCATCCCCTGAAGCAGTTTTCGCATTGTCGTCTGCAAGGTCCGATTCATGCGTTCTGCGACCCCCTGCTGTTGGTGAGCATAGGGCAGGGACACCAGGCGTCTGATTCCTCTTTCCGCCAGATAGGTCTTGAAGCGTTGTGACTGGTATTCCAGTGCACCGTCTGACTGGAAGCTCTTGAGTTTGAGTCCTGATTCTCGTTCGGCGATGGGAAGCCATGTTGTGAAGGCTTCGAAGGCTTGATCGGCGTCTTGAGATTGAAGTGCCATACATATCTGGTTGCGGCGTCGATGAACGTGATGACGTAGTTGAAGTCGGCTTCGGTGTCGTCTCGAGGCATGTTTAAAATATCGCTGTAGACCTTTTCCATCGGAGCGTAAGTAGGTGCGCTTGGGTTGTGATGGGATGGGAAAGGTTGATGAGGAAGATCTGCTTCGGGGCATGTGAAGCACCGTGCGCGTGGTCGTCGAAGTTCTTGGCCGCTCGTCGTCAGAAGGGCGTTGCGTTCTAACACATCTGCTTGGATTGTTTGAAGTATCGTGCTGTTTGCAGGATGTCCGAGACGTTGGTGCCAGATGTCGTCGGGAGCGCGGTGACCGGGCGAGCGGTGGTAGATGTCGGCGTTGGAGAAGAACGCGACGACCGAGCGGGACTTCGACAAGCTTCTCGTGTGGCGGGCATAAGTTGGTCTGCTTCGGTTGGCGGTCCTTGTGTCGCTGGTGGTGGTACTCGGCTGGGTCCTGCTGCCGATACTGCAGGTGATGGTTTGTTGGGACACGTGCGGGTACTTGTCTTTCTTGTCTGATAACTGCTAATGCTCGTGTTCTCTCTGCTGCAGGTATGGTGTTGGAGTGCCAGAAGCCGTCACTGTCGAAGTCGGGATCAAGATCCGGCGGTGAGTCCAGGCGGCGAATGATACGATACCGTCGCTGTCGGCAGTGCCGCGGTCCGGGGACGAAGTCCAACACGAATACGCCGGACTTCAGGAGGGCACGACCGATGAAGAGGCCGCCCTTCCCGTGGTAAAGTCGGA